TTTCATGTCTTATTTCATTTAACAATATTGTATACAGCGCCATTTTTCCCCTGGATGGTGAGTTTTTGAACTCTTTTTTTTTTTTTTTTTTTTCTTTTTTTTTTTTTTTTTCCGCCGAAAATAAATTCCCATAACCTCCTTTAACCTCCTTTACACGATTCCCAAGTTTGATAACATTTGGTCCGGTAGTTTTCCTTTTATGACCATTTCAAATTGGAACTTTAATTATAACCACCATGTAAAATTAAACTTTAAAAGTTCTGACAGTTTGGTTCAAGTCCCAGCTTTAAAAAATATATATATAAATATAAATTTTTTATATTAATTCTCTTAGAAAGAATGTTTTAAGAAGCTAATTTTTTTTCTCTCGCGTTATAGATTGTATAAAAAAACATGATCTTTAATATGATTTAGATTGTTTCATTTTCAGCCGATATAAGAATCGGGTCTACTCGGTGGTACAGAATAAACCCTGCTGGACTGTTTTAAACCCTGCTGGACTGTTTTATTCTTTGTCATTTAGCAAAAATCTTTTAATTAAAATATTTATCCTTTGGACTTCGCTTTAAACTTTATTTATAGTTAAAATGACTAGAAAATGAAAAGCTGTCTTTAGCTGAAACGCAATTCATGTAATTGATATTTTAAAAAATTGACAAGAATGCAAAATGTATGGAAGTCTAGCAGTCGAAAAATCTTAATTTTTTCTTGTGTGAGCACTGAAAATAACTGTAGAAGGAAAGAAGAAAATTAGGGAGAAAAGTAAGCAAAAATTTGCAGGGAAATTTGGCTGTCAGACATACCAAGATGTTCAAAAAGTTGGACGCTTTTCGAATATACTTTCAGGATACTTCAAAGAATTTAGGTGTTCAAAGAGAAAACACTTGGACGTGTACACCAGCAAATACCATCAATTGAGCTTGTGTTAACAGAAAAGACAAAAACGATATCATTGCAGATTAAAGTGAAGAGCGACTGGTTTTAAACTATATGGTTGTGTAAATTACGTTATAGAACATCATATATCGTATCATAAATGAGAATCCCATGATTTTCTCCCATGATTTTCTCAGTCGAATTATTTGAAGATTCAGGAGTTTATCCAGTGATGTATGTGGATGTCACCTTAAAGATTTTTTTTTTTTTTTTTGTTTTTTTTTTTTTTTTTTTTTTTTTTTTTTTTTTTTTTTTTTTTTTTTTTTTTTTCCCTTCCTGATGAAACAGCGGCCGAGCGGTAAAGTCGCTGAACACTGGTAGTCGGTCCGAACTACCAGTGGTCAGTTCGAGTCCGTTCGTAATACAATCTTGAACCGAACCCGAACGGGCTGGCTGCATGGGCGTTTTCGTGGTTTTCCCATGTGTAACGTGTATGCGAGCCAGTTTCCCTTAGAAAGTCCTCCAGGAAGGCATCCCTCCCCTTAGGCAGATAGCCGTAGTGTGCTTTGTCATAATAAATAAACCAAAACCTTTTGATGAAACCAGTCTTTCTTTCCTTTCATCTCATACCTTCAAAATGTTTAGCCTCTAAAGACTGATAAAGGCTCTGACGAAATACTTCGTGAAGAACTTTTTAAAGGAAACCAGCTGAAACCAGCTGTCATACGCGGTACACATGAGAAAACCCACGAAAACGCCCATGCAACCAGCCCGTTTACCGGGGTTCGAACCCCGGAGTGAACTACCAGTGTTCAGCAACTTTACCGCTCGGCCGTTTGTGGGCCTTTATGAAATGGAAGGCGATAACTTTATTTAAAATGATTGTCAGAAATACCAAAATGTTTCGAAAAGTTGGATACTTTTTCAATATACTTTCAGAATGCCTTAAAGAAACAGAGAAGAAAAATAAATTTTTTCGTAAAATTTTATTGTATTCGTATTTTTTTTAAATTTAAAACTTTTCAATCTTATGATATTTGATTCTTGCGATTTCAAAAATAAAATATTTGACTAAAATATGAATAACATTTTAAGAAACCAAATGTAGGATAAAATTGTGTAAAGCAATGGGCACAATGATAAAACTGTTTAAAGCAGTGTATGCAAGTCATCCTAAGTTAAAATGTCGGTTATACATCTCTCTTATTTATATATATTTTTTCTGAACGGAACATTGAAAGGCGTGTAAAACTGTGCTTTACTGTATTTTCTCTTTTAATATAGTATGCAGTTTTCAAACGCATCGTAGTCTGGGTTACAAAGTATTCTTCCGAAAAAAACGCAATTCAAATAAATAAAATCAAATTCTGGAAAATTGATATTAATAAATATATTTAAAATGCTCAGTTCGAAGGAATAAATAGAAAATTTTAAAACAATTATCTGAAGAGACAATGCAACACAAACAATTAAAATAAAAGTATAAAAATTTAAAAATGAACCTAAAATAAGCTATGACGAAAAATATATATAAAGAAAACTATTTGAAAAAAAAAAATAATAAAATAAACGCTGCTGCACCTTTATTTACGCAGTTCGAATAGGTAAATAGAAAATTTTTAAAACAGTTATTCGAAAAAAAAAAAAAAAAAAAAATGCAACTTAAACAATTAAAATGAAATTCGAAAAAGAAAAAATTACTTAAAATAATAAGTTATAATTAAAAATATATATATAAAGAATATTATTTGGAAAAAAGGAACGATGGTGACTTTTTTTCTAAGGAAACTAGGTTGCCATATATTAAGAAGTTCGCCAAGTGAACTATTCTTGGCGCAAACTGAATAAAAAGTGCCAACATAAATTTGTGAATTTCTCCGTAAATTTCGCTCCAAATTTTACAAAATTTCATATTTAGGCCTAATTTGAGTAGTAGAATCGAAATATGTAAAAAAATTGGTATGTTATTTCAGAAAAAAGTCCGATTTTGTGTCAAAATACCTATGTTAGAATAGTGCTATATATAAATCTAATATATATCCTAAGTCGCGCTTTCGAGACATGAAGAACGCAATTTGAATTTTGTCAATTGGCCCAGTAGAATCGGGAGATATAGGACTGTCCCATTTTTTTTTTTTTTTTTTTTGAGCAGTGTATTTTAAAAAACTTTAAGGTATTAGTTAAAACAGGCCTTTAGTGCAGAGATGCGAATCTTGAAATGGTTCTACACACTTAATGTAGTACATATTGAAGGAGTCAAATTGGTAGGGTCATTTCAAAATAATAATAAAGAACCAAACCCTTAGCTGTTTGGATGTATAAAATACAAATACAGTGAGGAATCACTAATTCAGCACAGTTTTTGATAGCTTTAGGGGGAAAAAAAATTCGAGAATTTATTATAAAATTAAAACACATTCTTTATATATTATGAGCAGTTAATAAAAGATGGAAGATGTAGTTTTTAGTATCCAAGGCACTAAAGAACTGGTGGCACGATAAGGTATACTATCACAGATCCTATTTCACATAAGAAAAAGGAGTAAATCACATGGACTTCAAATCTAGAGAATGAAAGATTAAATTGTATGTTTTTGTCTGCTTTTCAATCCTCTACAGTTAATGCCACTGAGTCTTACTTGACTGGATATCTCATGGTGAGTCCAATAAATATGAACAGAGTAAAATGCTGTGGCATATTTCAAATAAAATTTTGCAGAACTGTTAGAATATTCAAAAAAGTACATATCATTTAGGAAAGGAGAGGGAAAAAATATATATTAAGTCAAACATTATTGAAGCAAGCAGGTATAAAGAGCTTTATGGAGAATAGCATTTAATGAAGGTTGTAAAACATTAGAAAAAAGTTAATTCGTGAAATGGTTCATAAATTTTGGGGAATAATGTATTTGAAATGGAAAATACTAAAGGAATCCAATTATCACAAAATTGTACCAGTCTGCAGGTGGTGCACCTAGTGGATTCCCTGGAGCTGGTGCAGGTAGTACGGGTGGTCCAACTATTAAAGTGGACTAAAAACTGTAAAAAACTTTTTTTTTTTTTTTTTTTTTTTTTTGTCTCTGCATACGTTTTTCTACTTCAGTATAATGACAATTCTTATACAATTAACCATATTTTTACGAACATTTTAAGGGATGATATTCGACTTATCCTTGATTTTCTACTTCACAGCATGCCTTGCATCATCTATCACGACGCTAATTGGCTCCTTTTCTGGACTGACCCCGCCTCCTCCAGCTTTACCTGTCATTACAAGAATGCAGCTTCTAACGTTGGATTCACATGGCAATGGTGCCAGTACTTTTTTTCCAGAATTATCTACATCCTTCCATGGAGATAAGTCAGGAAAAAATTTTCAATGTAAGGTTCCGCACGAAACTCATTTATGTGGGAAGTATTGCTCAGGTGATAGAACCCCAGAATAAACACCGTATATCACAGTACTAAAGGAAACTACATAGTCCTAATTTAACAAGGTAGTTAATGTTGTATTTTATTTCCCTTATTTATCAGTTGTAACTGAAAATTATTTACAGCATGGTAAAAAATAAGAATAAAATTAAAAATCAGTTAAAGACATTTGACAAAACATTTATTGATAAAAGAAAAATTTTAATATTCATCACCTGCAGATTTTAATGTTTTTGAAGAGAAAATTTAGCAAAATCTGTTAAAAATAATGAATATATACTTCCACTGTTTTTCCTTCTAAGAATACATGCGAGTAGTATAATAAATAATTGGAAATGCAGAAAATACTGTATAAGTTTAAACATTAAAATCTGGTTAAATGTTAAACAGTAAATTAACACATTAAGTGCTAAAATTACAGTTGGAACACCTGTAACACCTGATTGACCTGTAATACCTGATTAACCTGTAACACCTGATTGACAACTTCAACTCTTGAATTCATAGATGATTATCATGAGGTGCTTTACAGGAACTGAAAAAAATATATTACCCAAACAAGGAAACTGAAAAATGTGTACTACTCATATTCTGATACGATTACAGAAAAAGACAGCCATATATTAAAAAAATAAAAAAGGTAACTGATTTATAATTAACTTTATTATTTAAGTATTAATGTATTAATTTACCTTTTTTCCCTGGTTTCAGTTCACCATCAGCATCATAATATTCTCGTATATCCACCATAACTTTCCCTCGGAATTCTCTGACACTGACATATCGCATCTTTGATAACTAGAAAAAATAGAATTACACTAATATTATGAAAAACACAAACTTGTGTCATAGGAAAAATCTTTTTAGGACAGGATTATGTTGTAAGTATTTAGGGTTTAATCCGTAGTTTTTTTCCCCCCTTCCCATTAATTTCTGTGTATTTTTCGTTCACAGACATATTACAAAATCAACAAAATGCAGAAATATTGCATGAAATACTTATTATAAATAAATAACACAACTTTTAACCAAGTATAATACTGTGTTATTTTCCACATTTTCATCAAATAGCTGCAAAAATATATTTATGAGGCAAAGCCATATGTCACCAGAATAGTTATGTAGCACACTTCTATCCTGAATGACGCGTAGTACTGATGCTATACAGATGTCAAGTTTGTGCAACTCTGATTTTTTTAAGTGAAAACAGATCCCTGCACACAGAGGGAGAATGAAAGTACAAAAAAAAAAAAAAAAAAAAAAAAAAAAAAAAAAAAAAAAGGATTTATTGAATAAGATTAAGTGTTTTGTTACCAATGTTATTTGCTTTTTCAATTTTATTGATTGATTGCTCTTGTACAGAATTCTTAGTACTCGACGACTCTGAAAATCACCATTGCCTTTTGTGCTTTTACCTAGAGAAAAATTAATCATTTGCCAATAACTTTTGCAACTTTTCCATGGAGATGCTGATAACCATAAAGTACCCTAAGTAAAGCTATATTATTAACACTTCTCTGGCATATCATCTTCCCAGATAATTCGTTCTGTACTATCTGAGCCATGATACTTATCGTGATAGTATACCTTATCTTGCCAACAGTTCTTTTGTGCCTTGGATACTAAAAACTACATCTTCCATCTTTTATTAACTTCTCATTATATATAGAGAATGTGTTTTAATTTTATAATAAATTCTCAAATTCTTTTTTTTTTTTTTTTCCCTAAAGCTATCAAAAACTGTGCTGAATTAGTGATTCCTCACTGTATTTGTATTTTATACATCCAAAGAGCTAAGGGTTTGGTTCTTTATTATTATTCTGAAATCACCATACCACTTTCACTCCTTCAATATGTGTAGAGGAACTTTGACTCCTTCAGATTATGTTGTGTGTATTTTTCTATATTGTTGCAGCATGTCCAGTGACTTACTAATTTTTTCAAGTGTATCCCAGTCCATATTATGTTTTTACAAAATTTCTACATGAAATGTTACATTTGCCGTACGTTTCATGCTATTTGAAAAAAAAAAAAAAAAAAAAAAAAAAAAAAAAAAAGATGTAATTGAAAGCTTCTTTTAATTGATGAATCAATAAAATATCTGGATTTATTTGAAGAAGAGCTTGTTGATGACATCAACTCAAATAGAAAAAGCAGCTGTAAACTTGGCAACTGCGTTTCAGATTCAAGCACCAAAGATGAAAGAAAAATGTTGAAGAAATTGCAGAGGGATAAGAAGCAAATATAGGGTCACTTCAGCGTGCCTAAGAATTGAATACTGCTACTGACAGAATAGAAAGTAACATCGGTGATTCTCAAACAGCTTCAACATCATTCGAATGGCATTAAATTGGTGCAAAGTACATGCCAACTAATGTTATCATTTTTCAGGTCAGCAGTGCCATAATACATCTGAAATGTCCAGACCTCTGGGCATCTTTGCGATGAATAGATTTTTTTTTTTTGTTCGTTTGAAACTAAAAGCAATTATGCAAAAGATTGTATCAGAAAGCAAAAAGGTATCCAGACGCCAAACCAAAAAGTCGCATACATTGTTGGAAAACAACTGACGTGGTTGAAATAGAGCATACTGGCTCTGTTACCAATAGAAAGACCATATTCAGAAATGTATGCATGTAGGTACACTGCGCCAAAAAAAGGGGGGGACAGTTCTATATCTCGTGTTCTACTCGGCCGACTGACAAAATTCAAATTGCGTTTTTCATTTCTCGAAAGTGCAACTTAGGATATGTATTAGATTTATATATAGCATTGTTCTAATATAGGTATTCTGACACAAAATCAGACTTTTTCTGAAATAACATACCAATTTTTTTCCATATTTTGATTCTACGATTAAAAATTATGCCAAACTGCCAAGTTTTGCAAAAATCGCACGAGTAGTTTTTAAAAAATTAGCTCTCAAAATTTTATCTCCTCAATGTTAATTGAATTTGGTATATATTTATTAACACCTCTTTTTTATTAAACTTATTTGATTCTTCTTTCCTTTCAATTTCAAAATTTAGGTTCATTCCAAATAAAATTCATCTATTTTTTATGATTTACTTTTAAAATTTGTATTTTAAAATAATTTTTATAAATTTTTCAAAAATATTTTTACCATCATCTTACAGTAGATGTATTTCTAAGCATACCTGCAAAAAATTACAGCTTTTTATTCAAAATTTCCAAAGATATACATGAATTTACATACTGGCACGTTTTCAAATTTGGCATATTTGTTTAAAGAGATAATAACATCAAATGTGGTTTAGGCATTTTGTCAAAATTATTTGAAAGTAGGAACGATGTGACTTTTTTGCCGATCATGCACAATGTAAAAAGGTAGGAGCGATGTGAATTTTTTTTCTGCTTCTGCACAATGGAAGGTAAAGGACAATTAGGTTGCCATATATTAAGAAGTTCGCCAAGTGAATTATTCTTGATGCAAACTGAAAAAAGAAGGGGCCATGATAAATTTTTGAATTTCTCCATAAATTTCGCACCTAATTTAATGTTTAAAGCTAATATTTAGGCATAATTTTTTAGGCATCTATTTGAGTCATAGAATCGAAATATAGGAAAAAAAATTAATGTTATTTTAGAAAAAGTCCAATTTTGTGTCAAAACACCTATGTTAGAACAATGCTATATATAAATGTTATATAGCGTAAGCGCACTTTCGAGACATGAAAAACGCAATTTGAATTTTGTCAATCAGCACAGTAAAACGGGAGATATAGAACTGTACCCCCTTTTTTTTTTGTATGCAGTGTACATATGTATGTGCATATACACTGAAGTTACAAAAGTCATGGGATACCTCCTAATATTTTGTCGGTCCTCCTTTTGCCCAGCGAAGTGCAGCAACTCGACGTGGCATGGACTCAACAAGTCGTTGGAAGTCCTCTGCAGGAATATTGAGCCATGCTGCTCTATAACGTCCATAATTGTGAAAGTGTGACGGTGCAGGTTTTGGGCACGAACTGACCTCTCGATGATGTCCCCATAAATGTTCGATGGATTCATGTCAGGCATCTGGGTGGCCAGATCATTCGCTGGAATTGTCCAGAATGTTCCTAACCAATCGCGAACAATTGTGGCCCGGTGACATGCGCATTGTCATCTATAAAATCCCATCGTGTTTGAGTACGTGAAGTCCATGAATGGCTGTAAGTGATCTCCAAGTAGCTGAAGGTATCCTTTCCAGTCAATGATCGGTTCAGTTGCACCAGAGGACCAAGTCTATGCCATGTAAAACAGCCCAGACCATTATGGACCACCACCAATTTGAACAGTGCCTTGTTGAAAACTTGGGTCCACCACGACTTCGTGGTGTCTCGCCACATTCGAACCCTACCATCAGCTCTTAAATCAACTGAAATCGTGACAATCTGACCAAACCACAGTTTTCCATTCGTGTAGGACACCGATATGCTCACGAGAGCGCTGCATGCGATGTGCTGTCAGTAAAGGCACTCGAGTCGGTCTTTGCTGGCAATAGCCCAAGAGACAAACTTCGCCGCACTGTCCTATCGACGTCCCACATTCATTTCTGGTTATTTGACACAGTGTTGCTTGTTGTGACATTGACAACTCTACGCAGACGTCGCTGGTCTCGGTCATAACGTGCAGGTAGTCGGCCCACTGCGCTGTCTATGTGGGATGTACGCCTGAAACTGTGATACGCTCGGCACACCACTCTTGACACTTGGATTCGGAATGTTGAATTCCCTAACAATATCCGAAATGAAATGACCCATGCATCTAGCTTCGACTACCATTCAGCATTCAAAGTCTGTTAATTCTCGTCGTGCAGCCATAATCACGTCAAAGCCTCTTCACATGAATAACTTGAACACAAATGAAAGCCCTGCCAAAGCACTTCGCGTTTATACATTTTCTACGTGATACTACTTCCATCTGTATATTTGCATATTGCTATCCCATGACTTTTGTCACTTCAGTGTATATATACTTACACAAGTGCATGCATGCATTTCGGAATCCGGTCCTGATAACAGAAGAGTATCAAATGAAGAAATCTCGTTTTTAAGATTGTTGAACAGATTCAATATTAGCAGCACTGATTTAGTGACACAATGGCAAAAGACTGGTTCGAACCCTTACACTAAAGTTTTGGCAGTTTAACCAATAGTAGATGCCAATAGGAATAGGTTTAGGTAAATTCTAAACTTGGGCAAAAAATATTTATGATTTTTATTTTATTATTTTTTATGCTTTTACACCATTACAAGGATAATTATTGTTGTAAAAAGAGGTATTTAATTAAAGTAAAATAAATTTTTAAAGGAATCTACATTTTAACTTTAGTGAAAGAGGGATAACTCACAGCACAAAGAGTAAGATGAAAGCCGTGATGAATGTGTTAACAAAAATATCGTATTTTATACTTTGCTTCTTTGTTGGATTTTGTCTCAACGGAAAATACAATTTTCCTTACCCCCCCAAAAAAATCCATGGTCTGCATCACTTCTGCTCTGCACACAGTAAAATGTTTCAATGTTTAAACATAACATTTTTACAAATCTTTGCACAAGGCATCATATGTACAGCTTCAAAACTTTTCCCACATGATATATGTGTATACTGTTAATATAACCTAAAAGTTATTAATGTAATAAAATGATGGTTTGGAGAATTATAGATGCAAGAATAACATTATTCATACAGTATTATATTTGGGATAAAAAAAAACAGTATACAAAAGAACATACATATACAGAAAAATTTGAATACTACTACTGTATTACTGCTGTTATGACAAAATTGTCATCCAAGTTTCAAATTGCTTAAAATGCTATCCATATCTTAAAAAAATTAAAATATTTTGGTTTTAAAATCATAAAAATATAAGTTGTGTTAAATTTTATAACATCTAACCACACCATTATCTTTTGTTATTTTCCTAATTGACTCATTCTTTCATCCACTAGCTGGATTTCAATCAATACCTGCATCAATTTGAGATATCTCATGCCTTCCTTTTACCCGACTCTTGCATATAATGAAACAAATTAGTGTTGACCTCTTTCTCGATTATTCAGTCAAGAGGTATGTCACAGTTATTAAAATGCTTCATACCAAGTCTTCTAAAATAAGACCATTGAGTTAAAAAGCAACACACTAATAAAACAACATTACAATGACAACACATAGGTTCACTTTCATCTTTTAAAAGATGATTATGGGTAACGCAATAGTGACCAATTCTAAGGCGAGTTAAAATTACCTCCTCACTCCAGTTTCTATCAGCCTTCCAATATTCGACTTTATTCTTGATGCTTTGTAACTTGTTGCTTACTTGAAGGTTCCAAAAGTGCTGCCATTTATCTAAGATCTTGTTCTTGATGGTCATGTTGATATCTCTAACTGGAAGAAACTTAGCGAAAAACCCCACTGCAGATTTTGCAGTAACGTCTGCCAGTTCATTCCCCTTAATGCTTATATGACCAGGGACCCAGCAGTAAAGAATTCGATATTCACAAACAGATAAATTCTACTGCAGTCTTAAAATTTCAACAATTAGAGGATTGTGGGTATCAGAAAATGCCTCTAAAGCTTTAAGTGCACTATATGAGTCAAAGTAAATGATAAACTTTTTCTGAATTTGCTTTGATATTTATAAAAGGGCATAGTAGACAGCAGTCAGCTCTGAAGTAAACACCAAGCAAGCCTCATGCAGCTGCAATCCTTCCTTATGGTTTCCCATTACAAAAGATGCTCCAACATGATTGGCTACTTTTGAGCCATCAGTATATAGGAATGTAAACACTGTATCAAAACTGTGCTCAAGAAAAAGCTGTTTGTAGATGTCACTCGTATTGCTTTTATTCAAATGATGGAAAATATCAAACAGCTGGATTTGTGTATTTTCCCAAGGCGCGATATCAAAGTCACTGTCTGGGTATTCAAGTTAGTTAAAAGATGTTCTTCAAGCAGTGGCTGAAACTCCTAGGAGGAAAGGAGGCCCGCAAGATTGCCGTGCTTCAAACAAGTGAACGAGCAAGACGTTGTTCAAAGTGGTGTTCCCAGGATGCCCCGGTTATGATAGTACATTAAAAGTTGGAAGACACAACTGCTCATGCCTTAAATGGAGAGATGGTTCAAATGCGTCAACATACAAACTTTGCACAGTACGCATCCTAAATGCTCCAGAACATATCCAAAGAGCCTGGTAATGAATAGTTTCAATAATACAGAGGGCTGTGCCGAACCATAAACCACTGAGCCATAGTCTAATTTAGAGCGAATGAGTGCCCTATAAATATGCAGTAGCGATTCTCGATCTGCACCCCAAGAGGTGTTCGCCAAGACGTTGGGAAGATTAAGAGTTTTGGAGCACTTTTTCCTCAAATGCAGGACATGTGGCACAAACGACAGATTTCGGTCGAAAATAACTCCTAAAAATTTCATTTCAGATGCCACTGGTATTAATTAGTGAGCCTTCAAGATAAAGCTCAGGACAGAGATTTTGTTTCCTACAAAAGTGCATACAAACAGTCTTCTGTTTCGGGGGGGAAAAAAAAAAAAAAAAAAAATTCTTACACCATGTCTGAATCCTGTTCAGAGCGATTTGCACCCGTCTCTCCACATATCTCATATCTGCACTCTGATAGCTTGTTTGCAAGTCATCAACATACAATGAACCTGAGACTGTAGGTGGAAGTTCCTTTAAAACAGAATTTATTTTCAAACTGAACAAGGTAATGCTTAAAACGCACCCTTGAGGCACATCCTCTTCCTGTTCGAAATTGTCTGACAAAACAGAGCCAATCCTTACTTGAAAGGATTGACTTACATTTTTATTTTCCAGTTGGTCGTTCTTAGTTTCTTTATTATTGGGTTTTTTAGCTATTATCCTGATATTATGGACTGGCTGATTATTTTGTCCACGTATTGTCGTTTGTGTCTCTATGGACTTAACAAATTTTACAACATTCGTGTATGACTTTTTGCCCGGCTACAATTCTTCTTGCCTCTGAATATGAAATACAGTCAAAAGTCGTTAATCCGGACTCGCGGACTTTTTTTCGGCGATTCCGGCTTATTCGATTTTCAGGATTATAGATCAGTTTAAATCTCGTAAGATGGCATGCAGAAATTCTAAAATTAAAAATATGAACCTAATTATGAATAAAGAACAATTATGATCTAAGGTATCAAAATTTGCAAAAGAAAAAGCTTAATATTATTTGTTTACTTATTAAAATTTCTTTCAATAAGTGTTTAAGTTTGCTTCGTTTCATGTGATAATACTTTCTCTTTAATTAAACAACATAATTCTCTGTTCAGTTACAAAGTTCGTTAAGTCCCTGTGTCAAGAACACCGACTAATTTGTCATCGAAATTTTTTTGTTTCATAACCTCTGTCACGTTTCTTCGCTATCGGAAGCGAATTATAATGACGCGAGGAATTGTTTAAATCATATCCAGCGGAGCATACGAGCATTTGGTGAAATTATAATTTGGTAAGGATTATGACAAAATTCAATAAAATTACGGCCCGCGCCGAGCAGCGTGAAATTGATAAACAGATTCGGATTTCAAAACATACTTCGCTTTGATCCTTTACATATTAACAAATATATATCGGAAATCTATTTGATATAATCGAAAGTTTAAACTTAAACTTACCTTTAAAATTGCTCTTACAGTCTGCAAAAAAAAATTAAGCCGGATGCAATTCGAAATTAAGGAACAACGCAATCATCAACATTAATTGAAATAGATAATTAGATAATTTAGCTTATACGTCATTAACATAAAATGCGCAGCTAAAACGATTCTGCACTTGCGCACACTCATATGCGCAGTCGTAAAAGGTCTTACGCGCACGCGTGAACGCCTCTGGCGCAATGTGTCAACGCGGCGCATGCGCAGAAAGTTTTTAGTTTTGATGTCCGGATTATAGATCATTCCGAATTAACGACTTTTGACTGTATTTTTTGTAACCTTGACAGTTTGGACGTCTTTTTCAGATTTCCATTTTGGGCAAAGTCATGAGAATACAGTGTGCTCCACTTTACAGTTTGCGCATAGTGGCGAGGCATTGCAGTTTACGCTGTTGTGACCTTCCACAGAGCAGCATGCACATGTGACTTTGCCACGACAGGAGATTTTCGAATGGCCAAATCGTTAGCACTGAAAGCAGCTTAGGGGATTTGGTACGTAAGGTCTTACAGGGCAGGATAAGTACCCAGACTTAATACTTTTAGGCAGATCGGGCCACTTGAAGGACAGGATTATATGTTTTGTATCATCAACTGACCTTCTTTGCGCACCTCGATTCGCCTGGCAGCACACACATTCTGGTTAGAGAACTCGGAGACTATTTCCTCTTCTGAAACGAAAAGAAGGCTGATCTCTGAGATAATGTCTAGAGAAAAATTGAGTGTTTTATAAGGTGACACATTAATATTGGTTTGACCAAGTTTGTTCAATTCAAGAAGTGCAGCAAACTGAGCAGAAGAAACAGTTTGAACTAGAAGATCTCCAGAGCACAGCCACTTGATATTCTTTGGCTCTCTGATGCAAGATTGAACATTTTTGAATTAAAAATGGAGACAGCTTTTGGAGATTGCCTGTAGAGTTGTTAATGACCAGAAAAGTAGGTAGACTTATTGAATTTACATCAAGATTGGCATTATCACTTGTTTTGACTTTTTAGAGGCATAATTGTGTTCATTTGAAGTATGCAAATTTGATTGAGCAATAGTTGAAAGAAATAAAGATTCGGGTCCAACTGCCCCACCCACCATGGAGCCCAATAAGGGAACACTCCTGAGTTAGGGCTAGCTAGACCTATACGCAAACTGAAGCCTTGCAGCCGGCTTTCCCAAAAACAGGTACTCCTGAGAGCTTATCCCCAAGCCATTGACACAAGGGCTAGTGACCAGCGAATTGACAATGAGGATGACAAGGTGAGACCCATTTAGCTCAAGTGGAGGCCAACGCAGTGTGTTGGGGGCAGTACCTCACCCCTCAACTACCAGGACCCTCCTTTCCAACGACACGAGTCTCTACACACTGCAAACACGTGGCAGTTTTCTCGCCACTCAAAAACTAGAGACAAAGGCTGCTCCAGTCTCTCATGATGAGCCCCAACCTCTGAAGAGGTAAAACCATAAGGGAGAATGGAAGGAAAAAAGCTTCATCTCAGAGGAGACAGAAAAGAAGATAGATCACTGGGGCTCCAGGATCGTGACACCCGTCTCAACAAGAAGATGATCCCGTGAGGGGCTAGGGTACCTCGGAATTGCCACACCCGTACTTACAAAAGTGAGCCCCTGAGAGATATGGAAGTTTTCAAACTTAATGTACCTATAATGACACCCTTTGTCATAAAGGGAGAAAGAGAGATGTAACATTATCTAGGGATAGAATTTGGAATCCACAAAAACTGTTACATTTACACATTGGGTAGAAATACAATAAAGAATTATGCCACTAATTATTGTCGAAATATTTTATGAATACAGAAAAACCTTTCACTAAATTAGTGAATTGGATTTTTCTCAGAAAATAAACGACAATTACTATGCGACAGCATTATAAATATTGCTACAATTTAAATTATATTAGCAACATCAAAATTAACATAATTACTTTGAACATATTTGAATCTTCATTAGAACTGCTCGATGGTTTTTCATTTTTGCTTTTTTTTGGAGGAGGATTCACCTAGAAAAAACAAATGTATTTCATTATTAATTATAACATGCATAAAGTTTGCTAGGCTGTTAAAAAATTTTAATTACCTTTTAATCAAAGTAACTGATCTATACTTGAAATAAGCATATTACTTTCCTGTTGCAACTGTATACGATTACTTACATTGAGGCTTAGTAATATTTTAATGCTGTACTTTGTAAGATATTCAAAGAAATATATACTACCACATCCCCCTTAGCAAATTATTCAGAAACAGTCCCCCAAAAGAGAATACACTCTCCTAACCCTGAGTGCCATGTTCATTTTTATCTGGTCATGAGATTTTTTGTCACTTGGTGTACATTTGTTTATAATTTAAAATATTTCACATTCTTACTTTATCATCTTGATAAATAGAAGTTTGTGAAAAACTAGCATAAAGTAAGTAATTATACAAATTTAGCTAATAAATTGTTTAAATACAGGTCTTTATAAGCAGATTCAGAAAGCCATGCTATTCGGAGAGTTAAATTAACATATTTTTACTACTCTCTTATATTAATGGAAATTTTAAACATTATATTAATGAATTTAAATTGGCGAAACAAGCTTCAAACATAAGAAATGGCAAATTATGAGACGAAAGAAATGCCAAATTATGATTTTTAGGTAATAAAATTAATAATGAGGAAATAAAATTAAAGCAAAACTGTTACACTGAAGAGAATCCTACGCTACTTTTCCATTTTGCTGGAGCAGGTGATAAAGTCGCCAAAATTGGTACAATCAATGCCAAAAGGAATATCCATGGCTAGATGGGAGATTATGGTCCAGTTGCCAAGTGAAGCGAAATTATGCCAAATCTGGTAACCTCTTGGCTTAAATACGAATCAATGCTTTCCGATCATTTATTGCTCATTTACTGCTTATTACAGTTTCTTAAATTTCGTGATGAAATGCTTTACTCCATTTTGCTACTGTCTTAAAAATGGTATATGATATTATAAAAACTTTTAATATTGTTGATCCTATAAAATACATATTATATATAATATGCACCACAATATTAACTTTAAATATTGTGGTGCAGAATTGCCCACTTATTTGTTTGGCGCTTTTTACAAGAGTAAGAAGAATTTGCTTTTTACCAATTTTCTTTGACGTTTTAAGTGAAAATAAGTCGATGTGTACAAGGATAAAGGATAAAGGGAGTGCACACTGTCATTTTTGTGCAATTTTAGGATGCTTTTTAAGTGAAAAGTCGATGTGTACATGGATACCGAGTTAGACCTATTGCCGTATGACCGGGATATACTGGTAGTAGATACTCGGTAGCTATTATACTCGATATCCATGTACATGGGCACCTAGTATGTATACATGAATACCGAGTATTATCAAGAGTATATGCAAGTCTTGTACATGGGCACCTAGTATGTATACATGAATACCGAGTATTATCAAGAGTATATGCAAGTCTTAAAAAAGCACCAAGCAGTGGATGATTTTGCACTTCCCCCTTTTTCGTTGTTTTACTACTTAAAGTCCTATTTTAGATACTTTTGCATGTTTACAGGTTGCTTAGATATTTTTGCATGTTTACAAAATTAAAATTCACAAGCATCTAATATGGCGATATGATAAGTTAGCGATTTTCTAAAATGTGCGAAAACAACTGATTTGGCGACTTGGCAATTTTTGAAAATGTGCCAAACTGGACCATAATATCCAGTTATACCAATATCCTTGCTGGTAACCTTTTACGCCTCATTTTTATAATAAGTCGCAGCCATTTCTTATCAGATTGATTGTTTCTTTCAAAACTGGCATACAATTACATAGAATTTTTTACCAGACAGTTCAATTTTATGCCATAAGGCCATTTGTGGTAATTAAGTCATTTAGGATGCAATCACACCGCTCATCTGAAGGCAAAGTCAAGGGTTAAATTCATCAATTCTAATGAAAATGCACTAGCGAAGTAAAGCACTGCAGTTTTACATAATTTCTGAGTAAGCTATTCACACGAACTGAAATAATTCTTGCATCTTGGTCACGTGAGATGAGATCACTTGGGGCACGTGATATGAGCCGGCAAATCAGGATGTTGTACTACGAAAGCATAGTAAATTCTTAAATTAATGTCTTTTTACAAATTATTATCTTTATTTATTGGCTTTTTTACAAAATTTTAAATGACATTAAAATGTTTATACCATCAAAATAAATACTTAGAACTAACATTTGTCGACATTTTTCACGTGCATACTGTGTGTTGTCGCCAATAAAGTTTGCTTGGCAAGATTTGCGTCGGTGAACTAGAAAAGTACCAATCCAACTTATATTGTGAACGGTTAGCTATGGAGTATGGTGCTCTTATTCTTCATTGTTTAGTGTACTAGCTATGTAGAGTGAAACTTCTCAAAAGATTTTTTTAAATGAAATACAGTCAAAAGTCTTTAATCCGGACTCGTCGGGACTTCGGCAATTCCGGATCATAGATCATCAGTTTAAATCTGGTAAGATGGCATGCAGAAATTATAAAATTAAAAATATGAAACCGTAATTTATAAAATAATGAGCAATTATGATCTAAAGGGTATCAAAATTTACGGGGAAAAAAAAAAAAAAAAAAAAAAAAAGCTTAATATTTATTTGTTTACTTTATTAAACATTTCTTTCAAACGCGCACATGCGTAAAGCATACATTACGAATAGCCGAAATTAGAAAATTGCAACCAGAAAACTATTTGATTTGTATATTCGTGATATTTATAATGACGAGGAATTTAATTTAAATCATAGCAAAGACGGAGTACATAGAGATCAAGATTAATACTGCATTTAGTAAGGAATTATAAGCCGAATAAAAAAATAAAAACATCTGCCCTGAAGATAAGGATAGTGCTGACAGATCAACTTCCAATTCATTGCGCAGCGCAGTCGTCCCCCCTCCCCCCGCGCAGAGCAGCGTGAAATTGATAAACAGATTTCGGAACGGTTAGATAAACAAAGGATATGCCTTTATCTATTTTTTGTAGCAATTCGTTTTTTGTTTGATGGACATCGAAACATACTTTCGTTTTCTAGATCCTTTGGGAGCTCCAGCATCGGAAATTCTATTTGACATAATCGAAAGTTCAAGCTTACTTTTATAAAATTGCTCTTACAGTCTGCAAAAAATAATAAGCCGGATCCAATTCGAAGATTAAGGAACAACACAATCATCAACATTAACTGAAATAGATAATTAGATAATTTTAGCTTATACCGTCCGTTATATATTAAACGCGCACACGAAAACGTATTCTGCTGATGCTAAAGCAAAGTTTAAAAAATTAAACATTTAGCAATAGTAGCAATAAAAGCTCCCTGAGATAATATGTTGTGCAGACATTGAAGACAATAAAAGGTTTCGAACTTAACCAATTTATTAACAATATAATAAAGAATAAAAACACAGAAAATAAATTTAAACAATATCAGAGTCTTGGGAAAAATATAATATAACCATCATTCATCAAATAATATTTTTACCTGGTCTCCAAAAACACTGGCATTCAATACAAACAAAAATGTCCTAAGCAGTAATTATGCGGCCTAAAAATGAAGTTGGCTACACATTCAAAAAGTCCATGATCAACGGTCGAGAAAACACCTGAAATTTAAATCAAGTTCTTGAAAGCACTCAAAACCGGCCTAACTCCGTTTGCATCAGTTGAACACGAGGAATCGCTGCTCATGTATTTTAAATGCCGCCTTCATTGAAGAACATGGATGCCGCCCACGGCAGTCACTCATATGGTAGCCTCTGGAACCAAGGAACTTATTATGGAACAATCATCTTGTGGACAGGAACCAAGGAACTTTATTCAGGAACAGTCATCCTGTGGATAGGAACCAAGGAACTTGATTCACCGGACTGCACGCATCCTTCTGAAGGGGCTGGAAACCGCACACCCAAGTGCCAGGAAAGCAGGAACTAGAAGGGTTGAGCCAGAGCGACGCGAGATACTTATAGCAGAAGTAGACATGCCGTCATCTCATGGCAACCAATCAGCTATCGGCACGAATCAGCTTTCCAGATGACGTAACATCACGTTTCGTTTTTGCATCTCAATTAGGCTGAAACAGTCCATTCTCAACGCAAACAGTGGCAGTAAGAAAAAGAAGTAGAAATAACTAATATATTACTTTAAAATAAGAACTAAACTAAAACATTTCAAGGAGGAGAGGTGATGCAGTAAAAGGTTTACAATAAGTTACATTTTCCAACAATATATACACTGCTGGCCACCGTAAATGCAAATAACATGAAATTTACAACGTGCATTAGCGGAAGTGAGATATGCAAATGATTAGAATTTCAGCGCAGACGCAAATCCCGTGCACCTATGGAGCCACTTCAAAGCGCTATTTAAGGCTCGGAGTTTTCGACGATTTCAAGTTCGGCAATTGTGATTTTATACACATCCGTACGAGTGCCGTCTGGCCTTGGAACAGGTTTACGAAGCCAAGTTACTTGTCTCAATGTAGATTGAGTGTCAGTGCCAATTGTAGAAGAAGGTACATTGGTATCGGTTCTTTCCTCTATTTCAGGAAAATAGCTAACTGGAGTATCAGTAGATTGGAACTCTACCCTTTCTTCAGATTCCAAATCAGGAAGGGTGCCCAGTGAAACTCCACTGCCACTTTTCTGCATTCCAATTGACTCTTTAAAAGTAGCATTTAGGGTTTCTCTACTACCTTTTGCTCATTTTCCAACCAAATCTTGTACCCTTTTGTTGTTCGTACACTGTACCCAATCAATCGGCCCTTTCGTTGCCTTTGGATCAAGCTTAGAATTTCTTTTAGCCTTTGGAATTCCCACATAGGCAATCGTTCCAAATGCCTTAAGGTGACGTACTGATGGTTTCCGCTTAGTGTACAATTCGAATGGGGTTCTATCTTGGCCCTTATGACAAATTCTATTAAATGAATATGCAAAATACATTACTGCATCTGACCAAAATTCGGAACTCATTCCACTATCATGTAAGATTGCACATACATTGTTGAGAGCTGTTTGATTAAATCTCTCACAAACTCCATGCTGTTCTGGAGTATATACATCTGTAAATTCGTGCTTTACAGCATTTTTATTACAATATGGCCTGAATTATCATTATCATATTCTCGCCCATTGTCAGTCCTAAAGTATTTTAACCTAAGGTTCAAAGATCTTTTCGCACGTGCTATATGCCTTTCAAATACTTCAAACACCTGACTTTTCTCCACAATGGGGTACACTACCACATAAAGAGAATATTCGTCAATAAAGGAAATGAAATAACGTTCACTATTCCTACCTGGAATGTTAATAGGTCCCCATACATCAGAAAAAAACTTTCAAGTGGCCTCTTTACTTGAATACCTTCTAAGGGTCTATAGGAGATTCGTCTTTGCTTATTGATTTGGCAATGTTCACAAAACAAATTAGGTGAGTGCTTTAACACAGGAAGACCTCGAACTGAATGTCTCTTACTAGTCCTGACAATAGCACCATAATTTATATGACCAAACCGACCATGCCATAATTCACTATTGTTATGCTGAACTGTGGATGCCTCAAATTTTACAGATTTGCCCCCTTTTTCACTATTTTCGGGAATACATGATAGTTACTTCCTATCAACTTAGCCTTGTACAAAGTTTCATTTTCATCATCAGTAACTTTAATTTGCCCATTTTTACCATAAAATCTTGCTCCATTGATATCCACCCTAGGTCCAGATATTAAATTTCGTCTCAGTTCAGGTGAGTATAACACATCTTTAAACAAAATAACCGTATCCCCAAATTTCATTTTAACAGTACTGAATAAACTTATTTTTCTTAAAGGTTATTTTTTATCGACGAACCAGCTTCACTGCTTCGTTTTTAATTATTTTATTTAGAAAAACATCATATACAAATATTTACAGTGAAGCAAATACAATTTAATTTGTGAGCTTCGGTTTACAAGTAATTGCTCACGTCAGACCGGTTAGATTTCTTCTTTAAAGCTCTGCTTGCCTCAATCGTAGGAGGCGATGATTTGGCGAGATTCGTTGGCGTAAAAATGCGCCAACATCCCGTCCGGCCTTGCCTATGTTCACATGCAAGAACTTAACATAAATTTAATTATGAAAATACTAATATTAAAGTTTCAGTTATTCATGTAAACAAGTATAAAATATGTATAGAAAACTATAAAATAAGTAAACAAAAACATCGAAACTTGTAAACAAGGATACAAAATTATTGAGAAAAAAATTTTTCAATGCATAATACTAATAGTAACTGAGTAACATAATACACAACTTGCTAAACTTCAGTATAGGCAATACAGCTATTTTATTAATTTGTCCTTTTTAAAGTCCCCTGTGTTTTGGTACGAACTTTTCACAACACGGACTTTTCCATCAGAACCGTGGTACAATGATGTTATTCGCCTAAAAGCCAATTGTTAATTGGCAGAAAATCTTCTTTAATCAAAACCATTTGGCCGATCATCTTTAGGATCATTTTTTTCAACCATCCATTTTGATCTTAGATTGTAAAGTATTCAAGTAATCAGACTTCCATCTTTTCCAAATAAGTTGTATAGTTTTTGTAGTTTTTTTTTTGCCAACGACTTAAGCAGTTTTCCTTTAAATCCGTTAAAAAGGCTCAGAAATTGCTGTTATAGGTCGCCCTATCAAGAAATGACCTGGCGTCAGAAATTCGAAACTTTCTGAATCACTAGCAAGAGGAGTAAGTGGTCGCGAATTTAATATTCCTTCTATCTGAATGACAATCGTTTCGAATTCTTCGTAAGTGAAATGAAAATTGCCAATCGTACGTTTAGGATGGTACTTCACCGATTTTATCCCAGCTTCCCAAAGTCCACCGAAGTGAGGCGATTTGGGTGGAATAAAATTCCAATCTATATTTTCTTGCGAAAAATCCAAGTTAGCTAATTCTTTGTCTGGGGAAATTAATGATCTTTATAAATTTTTTCAATTTTGAATTCGCTCCAACAAAGTTAGTAGCATTGTCGGTATAAATTTTGAAACATTTGCCAGGTCTACTTGTAAAACGTTTAAGTGTTGCAATTAAAGCATCGGAAGTCAAATCTGTTAATGTCTCAAGATGGATGGCTTTTGTTGCGAAACATATAAAAATACAAATATACAATTTATTTAAGAATACCTTACGTTGATTTTTAAATTTCACTAAATAAAGGCCACATAAATCAATACCTGTAATAGCAAATGGAGGCTGAAACATTAACTCTTTCACTAGGCAAATTACCCATAATTTGTGAAGAAAAAGAGGGCTTACATTTAAAGCACGTTACACATTGATGTACTGTTTTACGTGCGAGACTACGGCCACCTAAAGGCCAAAAGTTTTCAAGCACACTGCATTTCAGCAGACCTTGTGGTCCAACATGAAATAATTTCCTGTGCAAACTTTCAAAATAAATTTTACTTAATCTTGAACCCTTAGGTAAAATAGGAGGATGTCTTTGAGAATATGGCACTGAAGCATTCTTCAACCTTCCTCCTACACGTACTATTCCTTTGTCATCAAAAAACGGAAATAAATTCGAAATATTACTTGGCAGTTTTTCTTTCCTTCAAGGAGGAGAACTCGTTGTTCATGCTTAATCAACACTTTTCTTCGGCTTCTCTTACCTCCTCCACTGACAGTGGTCCTGTGTTTTTTACCTTATTCCTGCAATTGAAAATAAACCTGAAAATATAAGACAAAACATGGTTAATTTTTATAATAATTGTTTGAAAGTTCTAAGAGGTCGTCCACAATAAAAATGTTGAGAGCTGTCATTTAGCAGGGCAATGTCTCTTTACAAGTCTCATCTTCAAGAAGGAATTTTCCTTTCTCGCCGCAAAGTTTCTTTTTCGACTTGTTCGATTGGTTTCAATCTCAGGAATAAATGGTTGCAAGTTCTTGAAACTGTCAGGCTGCATCAAGAATTCTGGGACCTGTCCACCATCTAGAATCTGTCACCAAGGAATCAGCATTCATTCCACGTGAGAGAAGATCGGCAGGATTTTCTTTACCTGCACAGTGATGCCAAGAGTTGGGATCTGTCAAGCTGGTGATTTCGTTCACTCGGTTTGCCACAAATTGCTTCCATCGGGTTTTTGCACCCTTTATCCAAAAAAGTGCAATCTTGGAAATCTGTCCAATGGTATTCAACAGAAGATCTTTTCAGATTCACGATTCTCTTTACCTTAGAACTAAGACGAGCTG